ATTTTACAGAACGATTTGTGAATTTTGTTCTTCGCACAGCACATTTTCGTTATATTTCAGATGAAATCAATGAGTGAAAATTGAAAATTCCATTTTGATCGGAACGTTTGCTTGAACGTGTAATTGATATTGAATACAATGGCGATTCTTATGTAACTTCAAGAGCTCTACAATAAATTTATCAAATTACAATAACACTCTTTGCTCGTGTGATTAGCATTTAATGCATGTCGCTGGTCACCAAGTGCTACTATTCACATTGCTACTCTGTCGTTGATGGACCAAATACTTCCAAATTAATGTACTCAATTCTGTCTGTAGTCAATTGGTATGAAATCAGCAAAGTGGCCGAATTATCGTTCTATGCTCATATATTATGTGCCTCTAATTATTTAATTTCGCATTAAATTATACGGTATTTGAGAAAGAACAGCGCTCCCTTTGGAATATCAAAAGGATTTTTGGCTAGTTGCGATTCGAAAGCGGAAAGCGATCAAAAATTGAGGTTAATGAGAAATAGACCAATTAAAACTTAGTATTTAATTAGGTAAAGCTTTTTTCTTCATCTAATTTCAGTATTTCAATCACGTTGACTTCACCATCTTTATGTGGTTGATGGCACTTATCAACGGTGTTTCAATTTTATTCATTTATTGCTTTGCTACGCATTTTAATCATTTTCTCTATCTGAGTTTGGTTTTTTGTTCAATGTAGTGTTATGCACACTGCATAAATTTGCATAAAACGCAAGCTGTATTTGCTAAGACAATAAAACGTTTATAAAAAAATAAAATCAACTTGAATCTATCGTGGATCGATAAGTGCATGGAAAATATGCCACGTTCGGCTTTAATACAATAGCTTCTGGATTGTGCGTTTACTTTTCCTATCCAGTATTTCTTCAACTATATGATGTTTGCCCATGAAATATTCAACTCGAAAATAGAATCTCCAAAAATCCGAATACATTTTTGTATTTAATGAAATATGCTACGGTATTAAAGGGTAAATCAAACGAAATTTCTTGAAGAACCCAATATTGATTACGAACGATAGTCTAATTTGAATGTCTTTATGTTAGGCAATGGATATTGGACAGTCTTAATTAAGGGATATATTTCAAGCAGTTTTGAATCCGAAATGGACAAAAACTGGCCAACAATGATGGCAAACTGTACCTGAGTCGAATAAATATTCTCAACATTGCCACTCTACCTTTGAAGAATCACATTCATCATCATTATTGTACGTTTGCTTCTTTCGTATTTAATGTAGCGTATTTATTTTTCGTTTGAAAGACACGACGCCACCATTGATTTTCGTATCCCACTCTTGTTTTAACTGGTCTTCTAGTTTAACTTTGCAGTTTTTAGGGAAATGGACAGCACTGTTTTCAATCACTTGATACACTAGTACTGCATTGAAAACCAGTGTTGGAGCCTTCATTATGTGTTGCCTATTTTGAATGCATTGAGCAGTGCCGATTTTTCAACTTCATCTTGGGCAACCCTGCTTCAATGCGCTTGTCGAGAACATGCAAACTAATTTCAACTTCATTCACGCATGAATAGACAGCTGTCTATGTACTTGCATCTGTCTCGATCAAAGGGAAAGTGTCACAATACATTTCAAATGTAAGTCATTTGACACATAGCAGTCAATGCCATCTCAATTCCAACTCATTGAATCATTGTATTTTTCGGCAACTTTTTTCAAACGTGTATGGCTTTACTAGAATATAATCATTTTTACGGCGACGCTAACAGCTTCTCTGTGGGCCGGTACTACGCGTTAGCCAAAACGTATTGATGTTTCGCAATGGTTACTCGATGCATTTGCCAAAATACTATGATTTCTGTACTCTCTTCTACAATGTGTAGGCAGAGAAGCTGCTAGTGTCGCCGTAAAGTTGATTATATTCAACTCAAGCCACACACGATTGAAAAAAGTTGCTCGAAATATTCGATGATTCAATAAGTTGGTTTAGAGATGTCATTGGCTGTCTTTTGGTATTCCGGCAATATATTTATGATCTCGATCTATCCGTATACCTGCTTAATGTTTGGACATTAGAACATTTCAAAGGTCATACCATGCTACAATCACACTGTAAAATATTAAAAGAATGAACAATACATTCAGTTGTGTTTCTGACTTTAAAGAAATCACTTTGAAATAATTAAATGGCTTCACACGTTGTTCATGTGTGATTTTTCAAGCATTTTTTTTCTTCAAATAATTCATTTAAAAAAATACAATTGTGTTTATCTGTTTTTTGAATTTAAAACGTTGAAAAATAAATAAAAATACAATGTTCATAACTAAGGTAACTTAATTTTTGGTCAATTCCGAAAAAAATCAAAAATATAAACATAAAAATAACTTTTCATTTCATTCAAATATAAAATATCAGGCAACCTTGCTTGTGCTGTCAATTATTGTGGCCTACACTGGTGCAAACATTTTAAAAGGCATTGAACGTGGTATTGAACATGGAGTAGTGCGAGCTGTTGAGAAGGCAGCTGGACGTATAATTAAAGATCGCGTCTTAGATAGAGTCCACCACAGCGGTGGTCATTTCAACGGTGAAGCCCACAGCGATAGTCATTTCGGTGGACATTACAACGATGGATACCGCAATGGTGGACACTTCAATGACGGACATATTGGTGGGCATTCCAAAGGCGGTCATCACAATGATGGCTATCGTGGTTAGCTTATTTTAGTGAACTTTCAAACGACAATAATGAATTCGAAGCTTTCAAGAACGATTTTTTGGTTCATAGAGTGAAAATAGCGTTTCGATATAACAAAAACCATTTATGCTTTTTCAGGTGATCGATTCCACGGAGGCTATTGATTATAACCATACGCTTGCACCGTAAAGTATCAAGAATCAACAATACATTCAGTCGTATTTTCAATTCCAAAACTTGTACGATTTGTTACTCTGCTCGAAATATCAAAAATAAATAAACGAAATTCAAATCAAATTGACTTGTTTTTTTAAATTAATTGAGGTGATAGGGAACGGAAGCAATAACCCACTAGCATTGGCAAAAGTTAAAACAAATACATTTTAATCATGGAAATGGAAATCATAAATTTTTCAACAACAAAAATTATCCAAAAAGTCAAAGTTTTTAGGTTTATAGTGAATTCCATTTTTATACCTGTGACCAGGATACTACTATCTATTTGCTTCAGCAACTGAGTACAGCATCGGTTTACAGAATGATTACATCGATTTGAATATTGACAGACTCGAGGCAATATCGAACTATTTGAAGCTCTATCCATAGTATTCAAATACAAAGTTATCTACTTATTTAACATTTGACTCGGCTTAGCCCTCTTAATACATGCGTTCTTTGTATTGTACCTGTTCAATATATACGCATGATCGTTAGAACATCGCAAAATGATTTCATGGCACCATCACTTGTTCTGCAAAAAAGAATCAAAGAACATCCAAACAAAAGGAAATGAAAAATTTCCTCTTCTATGCATAAGTTTGACACAGTCCATAGTACGGCTCATGTGATGCTTACCTTTCATAGTCAATCTATGTGTGCATGTCACATACAAATTTTGTATTACAAAACTACCTGTCGACTTATTTATTTCATTTGAAAGAGGCCACCGTAGCGATGGACATTCCAACAGAGGACATCACAATGAAGGATACCATAACAAAGGGGTATTCCAACAAAGGACATCACAAAAGTGAGCATTATAAAGGAGGTCATCAAGAAGGTGGCTATCATGGTGAGTTTTTTTTTCAAATAATGATAATAATGAATTAAAAACAATTGGCATTTTGATATTAACAAAAATCATAATTATTCTTTTTCAGGTGATCGATTCCACAAACGTTATTGATTATATGAACTGCTGAGAATAAAAGGCTGACGATTGCAAGTTTTTCGCAAAAGCGGGATAAAAATCAGTTGCACGCAAAAGAGACATTTCAAAAGGTTGCACGCAAACGGAACATTTTATTTTGTCGCATTTCGAATTTTCAAGCCGTGATTACAACAACAATATACTTCTCTCTTGCGTGCAACCCTTTGAAATGTCTCTTTTGCGTGCAACTGATTTTTATCCCGCTTTTGCGAAAAACCTGCAATCGTCAGCCTTTTATTCTCAGCAGTTCATATGTGCTCTAAGAATGCTTCAATTACAGCATAAAATATCAAAGGAATCAACACTACATTTAGTTGTGTTTTCAATTTAAAAAAAAGATCACTCGTATGCATAACTTCTGTTCTTGAGATATCAAAAATAAATAGACGAATCAAAAAAAAAATTGACTTGTGTTTTAATTTGATTTGAGATCTTGACGAAGAATTGGAAAAATATAAAACCATAATATTTGAATCATAAAAATGAAAATTATTAATTTCAAGTAAAGAACGAGGAGAACGGTTGCATTCTTGACAACTTTGAAATTTTTGATGTACACACACACATATAAAAACGTATGGCGGATTGAAAAACGTCAGCAATGAACTAAACTATCACTGGGTGCAGCAAGTTCATTGAATGTGTGAACGGGTGGCAATATTCGATGACTTCAAAATCATATGAAAAACCACACAAGTGTTGACAATGCAAACTCACGATTTTTTTTTCGAAATATTTCTTTGGAAAACAAATCGTGGATGAAGCCTAGGCTTTGCAGAGCCCGAATATCAACAATAAAAGAAAATAAATGAATATAATTCCCAAACAAATAATTTATATAAAATGTATGGTGTTTCCAATCTCACCACTGTTCACCACAATCAGTCAAAGCATTAATGTGAATGACGCATTACGAAGTGACTTTGACAGCATACGCATATGAATTGTTGTCATGTTTATAGTCGGAAACGTCAATGCAAAATCTCCAGTATCCAGTTTCACTCTACATTCATTCGATAAATTAAAGCATTCAAGTTCATTAGTTTTCCTTAAAAACCATTGTCTTTGCAACCAAGATACTATCTATTTGCAACAGAAACTGAGTGCAATATCAGTTGTCAGAAAGAATATCAGCATTTTTTATATATCGAGGTAAAACTTTATCAATAGACATTCTATCCACAATGTTTAAATACAAGATTTATTACTTATTTACATTTGTCTCGGTCGCATACAGTACCTGCGATTTGTATATTTGTGACAGTTAACCTGCCCACATGCATATAGCATGCTCATTAGCACATTCCAAAGTCCATACGAGTGATATGTGTTCTAAAACCACAAGACAAGATAGTTTCTGTACAATGCAGAAATCTGCATCGCATGTGGCAGACATGCTTAAGTGTGTGCTGGTGTTCATTTTGGCGTATTGTAAGGTTGCCGTTTTCATTATTTGAGCGGAAATGAAGGCAACATCTGAGACAAAGAATCGTACACTCAGTTTATAGTACATCTTATGCGATGCTTGTGCGATATAGTCAATTTGTATGTCAAATCTGCCTCTACCTGTTATTTCCTCTTTTTCTTTCACTCACAGCGCACACTCAGTGCAAATTTTCACCGCTAAATTCAGTTGTGGTCTAAATTTGAAGTGAAAACTTCTTCTATTAGCCGATTCTGTTACAAGTTACTCTGTATGTTTTTAATACGTTTGAATAATTGAAAAAAAAAAACAAATTAAATTGACTTTGGTATTGGTATTTCATGAAAACATTCAGAAACAGTGACCATCGCTCCGACTGGTAAACATTGAATCAATTGTGCTTCATGTCAAAAAAAAATAAGTGAAAACGATTTTAAACTTTCTGGGTACGATTCCAACCGCTCTCGTACTCAGGTTATGACAAATCAAAGAATTTGGAATTCACATCAAAACGTTTGTGGCAAAGCAAAAAGACTGTGAACTCCAATTCCTTTCGCTTTGCCACAACCCGAGTACGAGAGTATTTGGAATCATACCGAAGAAGTTTTCTTCTAATTTGTGTGCCTTTGTAATTGAAACGCAATTTTTTATTTATTTTCGACAGAAACCAAAGACGAAACTGGTATAGCAGAATGAAAATCACCAATTTGAATATTGACTGTCTCGAGCGAATACTGGACTATTTGGAGTTTCAAGATTTGATTAATGCGGCCGCCTCAAATAAACGCATAAATCATGCAGCCAAATTCATTTTCGATGCACGAAAATATAATGAATCGAAGCTGTGTTTCAAAGTTTTTTTACCTGTTTCGAATTCAACGAACCAAGTGGTTATAGTGGTACGTGAAGGGCATGCGCCACCATTTCTAATATCCCCAAAGCGCATTGAAATTCACGAACTGAAAATGGCCCTACGATTGGTGCGCTGCTTCGGAGATATGTTGAACAAGGTCGAGTTAATATTTCAAGGCCTGAATCATGATCAGTACATTGCATTCTACATTGGTGAATTTTGCGCTGAGTCAATAACTAAAATTGGTTTGTCACAAGTTCCAGCTGGTGGTTTGGATCATTTTAAGAAACGTTTCACCAAAATTGAAAAAGTTCGCTTCGACACTTATCCATGTCAGCCTAAAGTGGCCACCGGTTTTTGGATCAATCGATTGTTTCCAAAAATGAGAAAGTTAAAAGTGTCGAGCATACATACATGTGCCACTTTGTTTGAAAACGGAGATACCGTAAATCATTTGCCTTGTTTGGAACATTTAATTATAAGAAAAGAAATTATCAGTCGTGATGAATGCGTTTGTCGTGAAAATATAATTAACACATTGAAATTAAATCCACAGTTAAAAAAATTGCAAGTAAAATGCAACCATTGCTCAGTAAATCAAATGCTTAATGGGAATTTTTTTCGAAACGTTGAAGATAGCTTGCAAAATCTTGAAAGTCTCGAATTTACAATGGATATCAATACATTTTTACATAACTTCAAGTCACAAGCGATACAATTGAAAAACGTTAAATATCTACACGTTGAGCACGATTTTCCTTCAGCGGTTGAAACATTTAATTTCCCATTTCTGTTTAGGAGTCTTGAAACGCTGCGCTGTGTCACGGAATTCATCGAATATTGCCATAGTTTCATCGAAAAACATCCGAAAATATCGACATTATATTTGACAACGTCTATTTTAGGATTGGATCAAGATGTGAATATCGACCGATTCAAGGAGATATTTCCATCAGTGACACGGGTTGAATGTGATAAATTACGTTTTGTTCTGGCTCTTGGCAGATCATTGAAAAATTTTACCTTGCATCTGAATGATGTAGCTCCAATGCATTCAGTACTTGAGTCGGTTCAAAGTCATTTTAATGAAGATTGGACGCTATCCATTGACAAGAAACACAATTTTTATACGGGTAATAACGTAGTGCCATCGTCTTACTGTATCACCGGCGTGAAGATTCCCATACTCAAGGGTTTCGAACACTTAGAAGAGCAGTAGTTGAACATAAACTGGGTCACCTTATGTCGACATCATTGTGTTAGCGAGACAACATCAATCATAAATTTGCTAGAAAACATTTCAATATTTTCAATAAATTTAGTTAATCGTTTTCTTAAATAAAGCACTTATAAATCATCATCGGAATATCATTATCTTTTCTTTTCTCTTTTGAAGCAATTATTTTATGTGTTTTATTTTCAACTACTTTTACTTTCAACTCGGAAAATGTATTCATGAAATAAAAGTATGGATTCAGAAATACTTTTTAGATGTTTTTTTTTTATTTGAGTATTGAAAATATTTTACGTTCGACAACTATTTTCCGTGTTGCTAACTGGAGAAAAGGAGTGGAGAAAGTGTACGGATTACTCATTTTCGCTCATTCTATTCTATTTCGTACGCATCGACAAGTACAATTGACAGCGCAAGTCGATGTATTGATGACTTGGCGATGCATACGAAATAGAATAGAATGAGCAAAAATGAGTAATCCGTACACTTTCTCCACTTCTTTGCCTATAGTATACATGCAAAAGAGTGGAAAGAGTATGAGGAGAGGGTAAATGAAGGAAAGAAAGAGTGAAATGTTAACTCGGGATCAAGCGGGTTCGATAAAAACAAATCGGAGGCAATGAAAAAAATTCAATTTCATCGATTTCAGTTGGTTTCTTTAAGAGAAATTGATTTAAAATTTGAATTCAAAGTCAGCGAGCAGTCACTTAAAGAGAGCATGATAAATCATTCAGTCGGTTGAGGAAGAGGCAAATACGTGAAATGCGACAACACTTTTGACACAGTCACACGCCTGCAGTAATTGAAATAGTAACACTTCGTAGGCATCATTAAGGACATGTGTCAAATGAATCATTTAACAAAGTCCATCTTTTGGATCATTTTGTCTTCGAATATTGTTTGCAGTTTGTAGACTAAGTTTTTTAGTTCAATATTTTCAAAGAATTATACGTGTGAAATAGAACAAGTGGCATTTTATAAGATATCATCAAATACATTTTTTTGAGTTGTGACCAGTTTTTCTTTGGGTTAATTTTTAAAAAAAGGTTCATATTGTGAGAAATAAGAGAAAATGGATTTTTGAATGAAAATAATATCCAACTGTTGCTCTGTCCAATTCCTTTTCATGAGAAAGCAACTTGAGAAATAAATTTTAGATCGATTATTACATCGATTGTTATATCGATCAAATTTAAAGTCGTTTCTTTCGATTTCTTCAATTTCCAGATATTTGAAGTTAAACTCTGGGTATAATGGCCGATAGTAAAATCACTGAAAAGGACGAACTCTACGGCCAAATTGATATCGCACAACCAGCGAATCAACTGAAGCTAACAGATCTCTTCGACGATTGCCTCGAGCATATTTGCATTTATTTGAGCTTTGACGATCTGTTAAATTTCTGCGAAGCGAATAAAGAATTGAAATCAGCTGCAAATCAATTTTTTGCCCAGAAATTTGGCCAAAAACAAATCGATATCCGCATTTCAAATGTCAATCGCAAATATAACTTTTACGAACGTTCCATCGGTGTTTCGGATTTGAAATCTGCATTGCGATTGTTTCGTTGTTTTGGTGCTGTGATAACGAATGTATACGTTAGCCAAATTTTCAATGGCTTTTTCGAATACCTATTTTCAATGGCTTCAAATCGTGTGATTCGATATGTGAACGAATATTGTGCTGACTCGTTGATCGAAATAAAATTCTCGAACATCCAAAAAAATGGATTTTATGGATTGGAAAAATCGTTCACAAAACTTGAAACGGTTCTTTTTGATAATTGTATTTTGGGTATGCAAGCGACGCAATTTCAAGTGTTTTTTCCAAAGGTGCGAAGCCTTGAATTATCACATAACCAAGTGCATATGGAATGGTATCAATATCAACCGTACGTTCTTCCATTTGCCCATTTGGAGCATCTCAGCATCACCGGATTATATGATCCACAACTCGTCAACATACTCATGACCGCTCTTACAATGAGCTCACAATTGCGACACATTAAATTTGATGATGAAATATCAACGGAGTTTTGTGAAAGCATAAGCAACTGTATGCCAGTGCTTGAAAGCATTCATTTCAATTATTTTCCCAAAGATTTTACAATGTTCAATGGTGACACGGTTCATTTTAAAACAGTTACAAAGCTAAACATCACTTTCTTCGGCAGCAAAAATTGGCCGCTGCCAAAAATTCCATTCTCCTTTGATCAACTTGATGTGTTTATTTTGAATTTACACGATTTTTTGATGGATCATGATTTCTTTGACTTTCTACAAAAGAACTCATCCATCACGAAATTCAATTTAATCACATCATGTCAGAAACAAAAAATAACTGAAAACGAAATGAAAATTGCTTATGCGTTGCCATTGCTGCAGCAAGCGGAATTTGGCGATTTTGAGTTTTCAGCCCGTAATGCGTTGTATTTTTTAAATCAATGCAAACAGATGAAAAAGTTTAGCTTTCGACTTACAAATGCTGAGGAATTTTATCACTTACAAAGGAATTTAAATAACGGATGGCAAGCATCCATCAAAGGAAACTATGTTAAAATTGAATGTTTATTTAGCGACAAGTAGGCTTCATACGCCGCTCAATCCGTTGAAGTATATATGTCCACAATAATGGAAAATGTTTTTTACTTTTCCGTACACAACGTGTCAAGGGAAAGTATAGGAATTGGACCCGAAAACTTTTTTCGCAAAATTAGCTTAGATCATCATAAAAACTCATGAAACGCGTAAAAAACCACTTTTTGAGACACTTTTCCGTTCGTGTGCCGTCGTTGTCGTCGTTGTCGTAGCTGTTTGTAAACACGATAACTCAAAAAATAATTGAGATAATCCAAATCTGAAAGTCCCAAAAGTTTTGTATCCAATAAACTTAGTTTAAGTTCGAAGATGAGCCATTTTCGATTTGACCCTGGGGTACTTGCCCTAAGAAAAACCCCAAAAAATTGACACTTTTGTATGGGAGGTACCTGTAAATCGACTCCGATTGGCCTCAACCGACTTCGATTTCATTTTGTGGAATAAAAATAAGATTCTGAAAGTTTGAAACCAATCGGAATCGATTTACGGGTACCTCCCATACAAAATTTTTGACATTTTGACTAAAATTACCGATTTTTGGACAATTTTGTATGGGAGGTACCCGTTAATCGATTCCGATTGGCTTCAAACTTTCTGAGGTTTCATTTTTTGGAGAAAAAATGAGATTTTCAAAGTTTCATGTTGATCGCATAAGCAGAAGTTTGATTTTTTGTCCTCAATTTTTGTAGAAATTTTCTTGGAAAAAATTGAGGGCCAAAAACCAAACTTCTGCAAATGCGATCAACATGAAACTTTCAGAATCCAATTTTTTCTCCAAAAAATGAAACCTCAGAAAGTTTAAAGCCAATGAGGTACGGTTTACGGGTACCTCTCATACAGAATTGTCGATTTTTCACTTTATTTTCATTATTATATTTTCACTGCCTTTTTTTCAAGAAAATTCACAAAAAATAACCAAAAAAACCTACGGACAACGCAGGCCAACGGTACGGAAAAGTTCGGGATTACCAATGTAATTCTTTTTATCATTTTTTAGCGACGGGTTTTCAAAGTTTGTATTCCATTTACCATTTTATTGTATAATTTGACGTAAAATTTTACGATATTGTATTGAAGAAAATTAATAAAAATTTAGAAAAAAATATAAAATGTTTTTTTTTCACTTTTATTGTCGCAGAGAGCTTATAATATGTACAATTCAAATACACTGAAAAAATGGAACGATCGAATAAGATAGAGTCAGAGCGGTCAACGAGCGCTCGTTCGTTCGTTCGTATGCGAACATGTTCGTTTGTTCGTTCGTTCGTTCGTAGAATCTACGAACATGTTCGTTCGTTCGT